CGATACATAATGAGACTCATGCAACATGTGATATATTTGAAAGAGGACACCCTACTCTTGAGTGTCAAGCCTCAACTGAGGAAGTAAATATTGTGGGAAATTATAACTTCAATGCAATAGGTCAGAAGCACCCCTATTTTTCATGGAGTTCACCCGGGGGTACTGCAAATGCATGGCAACAAAATAACTCTAGATTTTAAGGAGCTCCTAGTTTTGTGAATCAGCCGAGGCTGCAGTTTCAGCCTCAACAGCCAATTCAGTCTGGGTTAGAAGATCTGACGAAATCCTTCATTGTCAAGACTGATGAAAGATTAGATGCTCATGGTGCAGCTATCAAAGAACTTGGGACATGTTTGTGTAACTTGGAGAGACAAGTGGGACAAATTGCAACTATATTATCTGAGAGAATTTCAGGTACTCTACCAGCTGATACTGAAAAGAATCCCAAAGAAATGGTAAATGTTGTAACCTTGAGAAGCGGACAAGTGTTGAAAGATCCCACTCCAATTCATAAAGAAGTTGCATCTGAAAAAGAAAATGGGAAGGAGCTAAAAGTTGAAGATGATAAAAAGAATGAGAAGAAGAAAGGCAAGAAGGGAGCTGAGAAAACGAAGAAGGAGGAAACTTCAAGAAGGGAGGAATCTGATGATGTGAGCAAGCACATGACTGCTTTACCTTTTTCCCAAAAGCTTTATAGAGAGAAGCTGAACAAGCAATTTGAGAGATTCCTGGATATGTTGAAACAAGTTAATGTAAATTTGCCATTTACTGAAGTTCTCTCCCAAATGCCAGCTTATGCTAAGTTCTTGAAGGAAATCCTGACAAAGAAGAGAAAGATATAAGAAACCTCAGTGGTCAAGCTCACAGAGCATTGCAGTGCAATCTTGCAAAACAAACTCCCACAAAAGTGTGGAGATCCAGGGAGTTTTACTATACCTTGCTCATTAGGCACTCTTAATTTTGATAAGTCTTTATGTGATTCTGGTGCCTCAATTAATTTAATGCCTTTGTCTATTTACAGAAAACTGGAGAATGAGCTTGGAGAGATAAGGTCCGCACTAATATCTTTGCAGCTGGCAGACTAAACAACTATAATACCCGAGGGGATAGTGGAAGATGTCTTAGTTCGGGTAGATAAGTTTGTATTTCCTGTAGATTTCATAGTGGTAAATATGGAAGAGAACAAGGTGGTCCCCCTCATCCTAGGAAGACCATTTTTAGCAATGGGTAGAGCTATACTGGATATACATGATAGAAAACTCATGCTTAGAGTGGGTGAGGGGACAATGACGTTTGAGATGAATGTAGCAACTGGAGTGAAAAGGGAGAAGCCAACTGCAAGTGTTGAGTGGAGAGTGAAAAGCATGAATGAGAAGGTCCCAGTGATTGAGAAAGATAAGTGTGGGGTGTACTCCAAGAAGGTTGAGAAGAAGCTGTCTGCGTGGATGTGTGCACTAGTCCGGGCACGTGGAATGGAGCCCGACTTTGATTCAGACCCCGACTAGAGATACATGGAAGTTTCCTCTACCTTATGCTTTTTAATTCTGTGTCATAGGGACATGACACAACTTAAAGTTCGGGGTGGGGAAAAATTATATGTTGTATGTATCTGTGTTAGTAATTTAGTTTTGTTGTAGTAGTAGTTGAAAGAAAAACCCTAACAATTTAAAAAATTTCGACTTTTCGCGACGATGGATATCATTCGACGGGTTTCTTGAGGGATTAAAGTCGAAAGAAAAAGATAAAAAGATTTTCTTTTGTTAGGTAATGTAATAATTTTCCCTTATTTTTTCTTTGTGCCGCGGTTTTTTTCAAGGATTTGTTTGAACCGGGTGTAGTTACTTTTTATTTTTATTAGGTGTAGGAACCTTTGTGCTATGATTTGGATTGAAAGAAATATCTCTTGACTTGGTTATGCCTTGAGAATAGTGAGTGCTTTAGTTTTGATGCTTATGCTCAGTTTTTGACTCTTGCATAAGTACTTTAAATTGTATAATTTTAACTTTTCTTAACTGCTTGGACTAGAGTGTCTTGTTAGTCCAATCTTGAGTGAGTTATGTGCCATGTGTGTGTGAGAGATTTTATTGTATTCTGTGCATTGCATTTGATGTCTAAAACTTGTCCCGTGTGTTTGCAACGTAAAATGGTAGTTTTGTTCAGTCTTAGAAGTGATATAGGCATTTTTTTATTGAGCCAATTATATGTTATTATCCATCTAATTGTGATGTATCTTAGTTAACCCCGTTGAGCCTGTAATCCTTTTTTTTTGGCAACCACAGTGCAAGTTCTACCCATTTGACTATAATCTCGTATTTTAGTCACTTATTACACTTCAATTTACTGCACTTTAATTGAGTTTGAGCTTTAATCGCTAGTATTTTGCACTTATTGTGTGTTTTATGCCTTGTAGGAGTGACTCCGAGTGATGTAGATGTTATGGAGCTAATTCTAGTGATTTGGAGCTTTGCAGTCTGAGAAAAAGCCCAAGGGATTAAGCCGGGATCGCGTTCGGGGGTCGAACACCACGTCTGGATGTCAAAATCGAAGCAAAAAGTCGGACTCTGAGAAAAATGTACAACCACGGCACGTGGGGCGCTGCGCCTGTACAAAGTCCTGCTTTCTGTCAGACATCAACTCTCTGGACTTTCCCACTAATGCGTCGCATGGCGCGTCGCCTTATGCGGCACGCCTGTGCAATTTTTACAGAGTATTTTCCTATTTCGCGCAAGAAAAGGTGTTTTCGTCTGGGCCCGACCCTACTTAGTATAAATACATGTAAAAATGTTATTTTATGGATTTTTGACACATCTTAGACCTAAGTAAGCCAAGGAGGAGGTGGAGAAGCAAAAGCTCAAGGATTTCATCATTCAATCCTCACTCAAGACAAGGGTATTTGGATTATTTTATCTTTTCCTTTAACTTAAACATTGTTAGGATGAATTACTCCAAATCCATGGAGTAGTTCTCTTTAGGGTTTGATGGATTTGGTGTATTGATACTTGTTTGTGGATAACTAACTCTAGTTTTATGTATTGAATCGTTTTGGATGTTTTAACCGTTGCATCTATATTCACTTGTTAATGTAATCGAGAGAGGCATAACTTGTGATATTGTTGCATTATATTTTGTTGGTTGAAGTCATTAATTCTTCTTAGTAATCGGAAGAGGCTAGTTGAACTGTTGATTAAACTTAGTTAGGAGGATAATCAAGAGAGGTTCTCCTAAAGACCAATCCACTACGAATTCTTGTATATATTCACGTGCTTAGAATTGGTTCATCTTGTAAGGTTGAAATTTAATCGAGAGAGGAGTTTCTACTAATCAATTGAACTAATAATCAAGTGAATTAGAGAGACTCGTTTGAACATTAAAAGTGAATTATCTAGAGTTAAATCCCAAGCATTTGTCTTGCACCTATCCTATCGACCCTATCTTCTCCCAATTGATATCTTCCTTTGCTTAATACTTGCGTTGATTGTCATTAGCCAATAGTATAGATTCTTAGTTAAATTTAATTTTAATCACATAACCCTAAATTGTTGATCATCTTGGATAGCAATCTAGCTACAAACTACGATAATACTATTTAGCTCCAATCCATGTGGATACGATATTTTAATTTACTATATTCGACTAGTGAGCATATTTTAGTGTGTGTTTTGTGCTCGTCACCAAGCTGGGAGTGTTAGATGCTTTCCACTCTCTAGCTTGAGGGGGAGTTTTGTGATTAAAGACTTTACTAAGAAGGCATGGACTTATGTGTAATTAGTAAAATTTTGTGAATGAAATTGTACTACATTAGAAGAGAGGAAGTTATGTTGTTAAAAGGATGTTAGTGCTCTAACAATGTAAACTAACAAAATGAAATAAACACGAGTTCTTCTCTCCCTTCTCTCTATCTTTCTCTCTCTACATATCATCTCCAAATTGTTGTCAATTGATAATTTCTGTGTTTAGATCATGTAATTTGACACATGCATACGAGTTTTTGCTATCAGTCTCAAGCCTTCGAATTTTGAATTTATACTGACGCATCACTTTATGCTATTGGATGTATGTTAGCGCAAGAAAAACTGCTTGATTACTCTATCTACTTTTAAAGTATACGACTTTCTTTATCATAATTCGATCACTATCTCAGACCCAAAGTTGGTTATGATCATCTTGCGGAACAAATAAAAGAACCAAAATGGCACTACATGTATAAACATACAAACTTTGCCCAACCAGCTTATGCAAAAAGAAATTCCATATTATATGTTATGAAATACTGTTTGAGCAAACTCATGCATGCAAAGTTGATCATACTGTTTGAGCAAACTCATGCATGCAAAGTTGATCATACTCCCAAGAGAGAGGGTGGGGTGGGTGTATCATTTCAGAAGAGGATATACATACGTTCTAGGATTAGGTGCTCAAGGAGGTTAAAACTTAAAAGTTGGCATATGCAACAAACAACCTAGAATCATATTTCTCTTCCAACTAGAATGTGAAATTGACTTTTCCTAATTTGGCAAACTATATGCTCTCTGTTATGCAGCAGTTTGTCATGTTTAACAATTTTACATCTTCATCTTCAGAATATGTAGAAAGAAACTTCAAGTTAGGCATGGAGCTTTAAAAACCTAGGAAAAAATTGGTGCAGCTGGAAACAAATTTTGTACTACTATTCATTTCCTCGTTAGTACTTAGAATCTTTTGCTTCTTTTTTCCTGCAAAACATTTTCCCATAATACAATTACTTGCAAAATTCATCAAATATATTATCAAAGAACATAAACACCCACGCGCACTCACGTTATTTAAACTCAGACGCTCTTTGTAGCCTAATTACTAATCGCGTGCGAATATACGCACAAGAAAGAGCGTGAAGACCGTGAGCTTATAAGCGAGAAAAGAAAGAAAAAAAAGAAGTAGAAAAATTGCAGAAAAAGAATTTGCTATTTCTGATCAGACACAAACAAAAAAAAGTCCGATTCACAGAGAGAGAGAGAGAGAGAGAGAGAGAAGTATCGGAAAAGAGCGATCAGAGAGAGAGAGAGAGAGAGAGAGAGACACTGTGTGTGTGTGTGTGTGGAAAGTGGGTCTTCGTAGTTTCTGATTCAGAACAGTAAATTTTTGGAAGAATTGAAATGCGAAGCAATTTGTAAGGAAGAGCAATGGAAGAAGAAGCATGAACAAGTAAGAGTTGAAAAGCATTTGGGTTTAATATTAAATCTGAATTTCGAATGAATTTTGGTGACATTCCAATAAAGGTTAGCTTCTCTATATTTTCTAATTTCTTTCTTCCTTCAAGCTTAAATATTTCTTCTTTAATCCCAATTTCGAGTGGGATATATTTGAACTTGAAGTGGGAAGCTTGAAGCTTTGGAGGCATTTTCTGTCTGTTTTAGGTTTTGCCCTGTATTTTACAGGCAATTTGAACTTATTGAATTGGGGAATAAAGCTGCGGGTTTACTTGGACTTGCAGTGAGGTATCAGAAATTGAGGGTTTTCATAAAGCTGCGATTTTGATTGGTTCTAAGGTTGGAGTTTTCTTGGACTGAGAATTTGAAAATTTTCAGGATTGGGATTTTTGGAGGGAGAGTTAGTTGATAATTATGGATCTTTAGAACCCCCTCCAATAGCTATACTGTTACAAGTTGGAGTTTTTGAGATGGATTTTGATTCAGCATTGCCTGAATTGCTGTTAGAGGAGTACAATCTTGTTTCCACTATGGGTTTTTGGAATTGGGGCAAAACCCTAATTTAGTGGTGGACTTGGATACTGACCCTGATTTATTGTGTTATTTTAAAATATTGGACTTTATGTGTTGACAAAGATGCAACCTCCACATCAGCATTCGCGGATCAATCTTGCTGAGCTGAAAGCTCAGATTGTGAAGAAACTTGGACCTGACAGGTCTAAACAGTACTTCTATTACTTAAATAGGTTATTGAGTTTGAAAATAAGCAAGGTTGAGTTCAATAAGCTTTGTCTTAGGATATTGGGTAGAGAGAACATTCCACTGCATAATCAGTTCATTCGTTCTATTTTGAGAAATGCTTGTAGCGCAAAAGTTCCACCGCCAACTCATGAGACTGATGTTTTGAAGCCTGGTGCAGCAGTTGGAAGTAATGAGCCCCCAAACGATGTTTATGAGCAAAATGGATCACATGTTTCCTCGAGCCAGGCTTCAAGTCAACCAGGTTTGTCTAATGGGGATATTCTCCCTTTATCTCCTCGAAAGGCCAGAACAGGCTCTCGTGATCGTAGGGCTGGGGATCGCCGTAGTGCACTTGGTCAAAATGGGAAGACCAGTTACACTTTTCAACAACCGACAACAACAGAATCGAGTTTTGACGTCATGGAAAATGGAGATACTTATCCACCTGATGCACGGAGGGCTGTGCAGCATTATCAAGGACTCTTGCAGCGAACTGATGATGAAAGGGAGGTATCTGGTCAAGAAACTGCCAGATTTTCTGTAATAAAGAGATCACAGGTAGGTCCAGTTTCTGTATATAACAAAGACCAGGTTAGAGATGATGGGAAAGAGATGCACGCAAGGAGTCAGCTCCAAGCTCCACTTGGGGTTCCATTTTGCCCTGTTAGTGTAGGTGGAGCACGTAAAGCATTGCCTTTGGCAACGAATAGCAAATGTGTTAGCTCTTCTAGTTGTGGTGCTTTGTTGGATAGTGTATCACTAAGGGAACGCATGGAGCAGATTGCTGCAGAACAAGGCCTTGAAGGAGTGGCCATCGATTGTGCCAACTTGTTGAACAATGGATTAGATTCTTACTTAAGAGGTTTAATTCGATCTTGTGTTCAACTTGTGGGGGCAAGGTCAGGGCATGAGCCTACAACGAACAACACCAAGAAACAGCAGACCCATATGAAGCTTGTCAATGGCCTCAGACCAGGTCATCATTTTCAGATAAGTAGTGGTAGACCTTCAGAAGTCATGCAAGAACATGCTCCCCATAACTTGATATCGTTGCAAGATTTTAGGGTTGCCATGGAGCTGAACTCCCGGCAACTTGGCGAAGACTGGCCATTGCTGCTGGAAAAAATATGTACACGCACATTTGAAGAATAAGGCATTCATGAACCTTCCGGTTAAACTTTTGGTCCCTACTGGCTCTAAGGGCACTATTCCTTTCAGGGTTTCTGCGCAGCCACATCATTTCAGCTTTTGTGGCCTTTTTGAACCAGTCAACAACTCTTGAGGTCAATATTGTCTCTTGAAGATGATAGGCACAGAGCCCTGAATCTTTGTCTCACCTGCTACAAGGCTTAACTTTGCCTGGAAACCCTTCATTTCTTAGCAACCACTGAAAGGGACTTGAAGAAAGGAACACCCGCGTTGGTCGCGCTGTTGTATGATTAGCATAATTCTCTCTGGATATTTTCTGCATTCTCCCTCCTGTAATTTACAGTAAAGAGCAAATTTGGTACAAGTTTTGCAGGAATAATTGTGTAGCCTAGGACTTCAGTAGAAAGGTGAAACTAGATGATGCAAGAATTGCTGTGTATCTTCAAAATCAAGATTGGTTGAACCTCAATATTAACAACACGTTTTCACCAGTAGGTTTATCATCTTATTATTTTTTAGTTCTAGATTGATGTTCACTGGGTCGGTGGCCCACTTCTGTATTTTATCTTTTCTTACTCTATTAAATGTATACCCCGGAACAGTTTGATTATTTGATTCTCTTTCCCATAAACCATGATGCTAAATGTTGAGTTGATATTCCTCAAACTGACTTGACCATCTGCTCGACTTTCGATTACAAAGTTATTTTTTGTTCTCGATTTGAAGAAGCCCCCACAAACTAATCATTTAAGTGGTTGATTAATTGTTGATATTCCGTGATGGTGTCTGCACTGAGCAAATTGTCTATGGTGTGTTTTGTAGAACATGCTCTATAGGATCAAAAAAAGCTTTTTACTAGTACCCTAAAGCGTCCAACTCTAATCTGATGTATGTCCACCTTTTAACTAACGGATAACTATGTTATTATTTTGGTAGTGCTTAACTAACCTTAGAGGTTTGGTAGAAGTTCAAAATTCCTGTTTTCCCCATTGCCTCAAGATTTTCTATGAGTTCAAGTAAGTTCTTGCAATATGCTGCTGCTTCATTTAATCTTTATTTGTTTCCAGGAAAGATTTGAGAATCTTTTGTTTTATTCATTAGGTTCATTGACTAAGCTCACTTATTTTGGTGGTTTGATTGCTTTCATGCACTAGATAGTCAATGATACAGCATGAATGACTTAATGGGCATTTCTTTATGATATTTGCGTGTATTTATCACTTGGTTACTTTATTTTCTGGTTAATTTGGATCTCAACGATGTGTAATTGCTGCTATATTCAAGTGGCTCATGCTGTCAGAGAATCAGACAGTTGAGCTGGTCTAAAAAATCAGCTCATATACTTTACAATGAAAAAAGATAAAGAAATGAGCTTATATCCTATCCTGAGCTGGAAGATTCAGTGTACGCATTCAAAGGAAATGTGGCAGTGGTGGGGTGCCTTGAATGGAAAGACGGACAACAGACCGAGATATGACTAAAGTATGTTGTTCTGAAGAATGGAGTAAAAGTTGGAAATAGAGCAGAAGACTGCGGATAATATTTCCTGTCCTGAGACAAACTTTACCTGCCGGAAAACAGAAAAGGTCAGAAGAAAGTTGATCTCTTTCCTTATCTCTCTATCTATATATCTTTTAGCTCTGAGTACTTGAATTTTCTTTTAAGAACTGAACAAATGCATATCTTCTCTGGAAACTGTACTATTTCGTTTCTTATGTATCTTCCTATATTGCAAGTTTGTATTCCTTATTGCTTGGCTCTTAGTCTTTAAGTTTATGTGCTTCATGCGTTATCGCTATGTACTTGTTGGCACTTCTTCTTGATAAAAGTACTGCTAAATTGTAGGATCTGGATATATGAAGTTCACCAATAAGCCTGCTAATAATCAACCACTGTTTCTGTTCTGTCTTCTGTGCATTTCCAAGTTAAAAATTTGTCTGTCAAACTCCATTCCATCTTGCGATAATTTATTCAAGTACTAATCACAGCCTTAAATATCTTATGCTACTTTTCTGTAGGAGACAAGCGACCTTGGTAATTCTAGAAGGCTATTTGACTTGGAGTAGCTAGTGGTAAGAAGCCTCCTCCACTAACCATGAGAAATGTCGTTTGATTCACCAGGGAAGCCAAGTTGGGAAGTCACTGTTGGGCTTCTGGGCAAGGGAGGTTTTTAGCGGGGTTGGGAATCTTTTTGAGGAAGGTAACAACTTGTATATACTATCAGCAGAAAGGCAGTACTGAATGCCATACTCACAGTTCGAAATAACAAAAGTGTGTCCTTGTTCGTCTTACAAGGATTCTATAACATCTAGAGGTAATCCTGCATCATCTAAAAATACCTCTTTACACCATTAGTGAAACGAAAGAAGACAATTCATCTTGATCTTCTGAATAGAGCTACATCTGTGTTTAAAAACATCTTGTGTTTCATTCATATGCATGCAGGGATTGTTTTCCATCTATTCTTCTGCATGAAAAGGCTGCCAGAGCTATTACAGCGTGCTAGTAAGTCTCCTGTTGAATTTGGCATTGTCCAGTTGTTTCCTTTCATATTTAAGAATAATTGCCAGAGTTGGTCAGTGACTCCACTGTGCAAAAAAAGGTGACTGTTGATCTCTGGTTCCTTCCCATACAAATAACATCTTAACATAGCACAATCCTCCTCCTCTTCAAATTATCTTGGGTCAGGCTGGCTTCTTTAACAACAAGTCATACAAAACAGATGATAAGTAATTTTCACTCTCCATATGTGTTTGAAAGGCCAAGAGTTAACCTGTTCTCCAATATGAGTGAGTGCTTAATAGGAAGATTTATCTGTATTGTTGCCTTTGCTNTGAGTGAGTGCTTAATAGGAAGATTTATCTGTATTGTTACCTTTGCTTTGCCTATGTCATGATAACCTGTCCGCACGTTCATTTGAATTGATCCAGAACTCTGAAAAAGTCAGCACTCTGTTGCCTTCTCAATCAATCAACAGTGTTCTAAAGCTCAGGTTCTACTGCTGTTGACCCCATATTTGGATAACAGTTGCCCCTTTGTTGCTGACTTAGGTTGAAGATGTCTGGGAAGAAATGCTTTAGAGACCCCTGTGTTAACCAATTGTTTCCCTAGAAAGAAGTTTTCATCCCATTCCCCACTTTGAGGCTGACATTGGCACTGAAAATGGGCCAAAAAGCTCCGTTGACCTCCATACACTAACCCCATAAGGTGTAGTTACCTTTCTTGAAACCCACTGACCTTCAGTCCCATATTTTTCATTAATTACTCTCCTCCATAGAGCTTGTTCTTCCCCGCTAAACCTCCATTGCCTTTTGATAAGCAGAGTTAAATTCTGTTGCTTTAAGTGTCTTATGCCTAGACGCCCTTATGATAGTGAGTTTACTCCATCTGACCAAATGGAAACATGTCTTTTCTCTATTTCCTTGCCAAATGAAGTTCCTTTTGAAACATTTATTCTCTTTTCAACCTTTGTTGGTATAGGGAATAATGACATCGTATATGTAGGTAGAGAATCCTTGCACTTTTTGCCAAAATCAATCTACCCCCACCCCATATAAAGGTACTGACTTTTCCATCTGGCTAATATTTTCTCACATGTTTCCAATACCCCACTCGATATTTCTTTCCTGTGATTTGATTTTTGATCCCAGAGGCAGTCCTAAGTAGTTTGTTGGAAGAGACCCAATTTTACACCCTTGATGTCCGTGCTAGCAACTGGATTTCAACCACTTGATTTACTGGGAAGTGGGAACCCCAAAATTGGATTGTACTAACTGGGAGCCCCTAAAATTTTATCTAGTATCTGTGGACACCACCAATTTTGTGTGTTACTTGACGATCAACTTTGAAATAGGAATTAACATGTTTATTCGGTGATGTAAAATGTACGGCAATTGCCGTTTGGCATTTCTCTTCAGTTCTGATTCCATGTAGTAGTAAGATAGTAGATGAGAACAGTCATGATGAACCTGTTCTTGCTCCGAGGGGAAGGATGATGTTTGAGTGATTTAACGCTCTCCTCGTAACTTCTGTAGAGGCAGAAAACATATAAAGCTCTCTTGATATTGTAAAAAAAGGATTGCGGAAGTTACCTAGGCTAGGCAAATTACTTGTTTCTTCACTTTGGTGAATTCTCCTCTTTCTTTAATTGGCATATAGGTAAGAGTTAGTTCTTTTGCATCACAATCTCTCCGTGGATTTGGTTCTGATTTTGCACGAAATGAGCTTAGCATTTGTATCCCATTCTGCTTTTGATGTCATTTCTTTGTTTTTTTTTTCATTCTTTCTAAATGGATCGGCTTAACAGTCATTTTTCTTTGTCGCTTCAAGCAGCTTAATAATTACTTAAACTTATGCATTGTATACGGGAAACATTATCCAGAAGGAGGAAGCAAAGTTGAAGCAGTGGAAGATTCTCTATCAAGTTGGTATGCTAAAGTGCTACATTGCCGCTCTATTGGCTAGTTTTGGCGAATTGATACCACACCTTGTAAAAATGTGTACAAATATGTGGATCCTAGTTTCATTTCAACAACTCATAGCCGATTCCATTCGGCAGAACTTTTCTCCCCTCTAGCTAAATTTTTCCTACTCAAAAAGTTTGAGATTAAGTGACTGAATGATTAGAATATTTTGGCCAGAACTCCCTGCCTTTAATTCCTGTTTGTTTTTTTCTAAATGTAGTTGTGAGATTTTAAGTGACTGAATTATTAAAATTTTACTGTGACCACTCTCCTCTTACATATCTGTCATTCTACAATAGCACAGAGGAGAGTGCATACTTGAGTAAGTGCACATGCTATCTGGAGCTTCAGTAAAAGAGTAAACGCCTATGTTTTCTGTCATTGTATTAGCTGCTAACATGTTTAACAGTTCTCTTCAAGTGGTAAGGTCTTCTCAGGACAATGATGCTGATTTATACTCAAACCTTTTCGCCGCAGACGATGGATGTGTGAGTAATAAGCATAATAGCATAAATTAACCTCCCAGAGGAAAGCTGAGCTCTTCACAGTTCTTTTTCTCTCTTTAATGCTGTAACACGATCACGGATCATCACAAAGATGGTATATTTACAAATGACACCACCCTAGATAGTCTCGTTATGGTCATGCTAGCTATAGAGGTATAGTAGATATACTTCATCCTATGCTGATACTGACATACAATGGCTTTTGTACCATATCTCATGTAATATCACCCCGTGGGGCTCAAGAAATGGAAGCGCCATACACACGTCTTCACTCTTCAGATACTTTTATTGTTGTTGAAGATGTAGCAAAGTTGTCTATTGATGAGCATGATCTGAGGAGAAGGATGAGTTAGAACTATGGGTGGGCCAGACAAAAATCCTCCACAATGGTCTGCGCTTGCGCTTCTGGTGCTTAGATGTCACTTCGGACTCGGTTCTTCTGAGCATTTCCCACATAACCTGAACATCCTCATAGCCACAAGTTTGTATGTCATCGCGAAGCTTCAAAAGCCCTGGACCTGAAGGAAACAATTGCCAAGGTACAGAAGCGTAAGTGAATCTTCAAAGCTACTGCTTCTATTTCAGAACATGCATTATTCATCATTTCACTTTTCCTGTCAAATTTCTTTCTCATATTTGGC